AAAAACTTGGCAACAAATTTCAAGATAACGAACGGTTGCTATGCAACGGATTAACCAATCGTCAACAGGTAATCATGCCTTCTCTTGATTACTAAAAATACCCTCGATTAAGAAAAAATGCCCTCTCTCTCAACCAATCAGCGCTCAGTAATTTTGCCCTTTATTGATAAAGGGAGTAATCGTGCCCCGGGAATCGTGCTTGTAATTTCAAATCGGCCTCGCGCCTCGCGCTCGCCCGATTTTGAAATTACTCGCGCGATTACTCCCTGAATTGTACTCCACTCGGTCCAATTACTATTACTTATCGAGTGGTTTTCCGATGTCGATTTTTATCGAGTGACTAACCTGGGTTCAGCCTCGTGTGAGAAAAACGGGGCCTCTTTGGGAAATATAGCGCCCCGATGTGGGATAATTGAGCCTCCTCGGAGGAAATGCTGATCTCCGATGTTTCATAATGTCCATAATTGAGCCTCTCAAGTGACCATGTCGTGATAATCTTGTAGTGATTGAAAAATAATTTTTCAATCACCACGAGATTATCATAACATGGTTATTATCGATATCAAAGCTATGCTATAATTGTGAAAGACACCAAACAACTATTTCGGATAACTGTGATATGTTAGAGTTAAATGATCGTAGTTCAAATGAGTCATCAACTACTGTCAACAGACTGACTTTCAGAAAGCTTTCTAAACAATCACAAAATCAATCGACTTTCGAATTCTAGAGACAGGGAACTATCCAGAATTCCTGGTGGCGAATGTTTTTTTCACGATGTATGGTGGTCCCACCATTGGAATATTAGAGCTCTAGGTGTTTGTTCAATATCTTAGGGAACATCCCATGAGGTTTATTGAAAGTAAATTGAGAGTTCCAGAATAGTATGTCCAAAACATTTGTCACAAGGTACACGTACATATAGTCTGATAATCGCATTATTCAAGCTCTTGCAGACATAATCCAATCCACTTATTGCAGAAATCAATGTCATTTAGGTCGCATAAATAAATTACACTATGTATCAACGGTACTATTCAACTTTGTACTAATGTCAGCTGTCAGTAACACAGTTTTGGTGATGTCTGAAACTAACTCTACTCTATCAAAAGAGAATGACTCGAAGAAAAAGTTTATATATAACACAGCAACAAGAAAAAGAATTATACAAACATTTAACCTACCTGCTTTAAGAGAAAAAATATTAGTAAGTTAAAAAAAAAAACACATTTATATACAGTAATACCTAGTTACACGTATATCTCATTAGCTACATGCGTGTATGTAGTAAGTTCTGTTTCATCATTTTTTGTGATAATGTGCACTAAAGGCACCCGTGGTCAAGTGTTGATCAATACCCTTCATTGATACTTGATCAACCCTTGATCGACACTCGATCAACGCCTCAGTCAACAGTTGGTCAAGAGTCAACTGATTTTTGATTGATGAATATGAGTCGGTCAACACTCGTTTGACTATAGACCAAGTGTTGATCAGATGTCAGTGTAGATGTTGATCGAGTGTTGATCAAGTGTTAATCAAGTGTCGACCGAATATCAATTGGATGTGTACTGAGTGTCGATCAAGATTTTGATCGTGTCAATTACAGATTGATTGAGGGTTAACTTTCTCTGGAGAAAACCAATTTGAACTGTTAAACAATGCATTCAATATGTTTTGTTCTCATTACTAATAGATACGATAATCTTCGAATTAGCGCCTGGGGCGCTTATTTCAAATTTAGGATAAGACGGGGGGCGCTTATTCGAAGGGGGCGCGTATTTAATTTTTCCCAAATCGTAGCCTGACATGATCATTTTTTTAATATATCATCTGCATGTAAACACCAATATAAGCTGTTTATTGACATAAAAAGCTGATCCTAAAGTTTAATTTGCGGCACCGTTAGTACTTAACGTGTTCAATGTGTTCACTAAACGTGTTCACAAACTGAAACAATGTACAAATCTAATACTACATGACGAAAACTATGCA